GACACAGCGTGAATTTTTCTCTTGCATTATTCCATCATCTACTTGAATTTCAGTTTTGTAAAACCAACTGTCCCGAGCCTGGCCCCAAACCCCGGGCTAATTTGTAGCGGCTCCATTTCTATGGACAATGGGATTCTTTCTGGACAGTGGGGTATTGACACTGGGTACGTCAGCCATGCAGTAGAACTGGCATCTTGAAGCGCCTCTGAGATTTTTTTACCCCCCGGTTGAAGATAGGGCTTTCCAGAAATTAAGGACTTCCGACTGTGGCCAGAATTCACAAGCGTGGTGTATGCTAAAGCTTCCTTCGGTGAAAGAAAGGACAAAAATCCGTGTTGTTTTAGCAAGTGTAAGAGCAGGTTTTCTGAAGGACGTTGTGTTCCTTGGAAACTTTCTAGTCTTCTGTGGACTTGATATCGCTACAAAATGGGCTATATTGACCTACGTCTCCCCCAAAGCTCCTTCTGGTGTCCAGGTATCGTTTTTACCAAGGAGAGTTACAAATTGTCTACATATTTCCCTCTGAGTGCTAGTCCTTCCCCAGCGTGCGAGCCTGGCCCATGCTGTCTGTCCCGGGCTTTTCTGCCCCTGGGCACATAGCTTCCGCTTCTCCGGGGATGCACCTGCCAAGTCCTGCGTATACACACCATCTCGCTTAACCCTCAACAGCCCCACGGGACCTGATTATTTCCATTTTTTTTTTTTAATTTTTTTTTTCAACGTTTATTTATTTTTGGGACAGAGAGAGACAGAGCATGAACAGGGGAGGGGCAGAGAGAGAGGGAGACACAGAATCGGAAACAGGCTCCAGGCTCTGAGCCATCAGCCCAGAGCCCGACGCGGGGCTCGAACTCACGGACCGCGAGATCGTGACCTGGCTGAAGTCGGACACTTAACCGACTGCGCCACCCAGGCGCCCCTGATTATTTCCATTTTGCAGGTGAAGAAATGGAAGTTCAGATAATGCAGTACTGTTTTCATTGGATGCCTTGTATGTATCAGGTTCTGTGCTCAGTGCTTCACGCATATTGTCTAATCCTTCCGGCATTCCCCGTGGGTGGATATTCTCATTCCCATTTTGAAGATGAGGACACAGGCTCCCAGAGGTGAAGTTACTTGTCCATGATCTCACGGCTATTCAGTGCCACAGAATCCAAAGTCAGGTGTGAAGTTTTTTCCGAGGTCCTCGGAGGCAGGAGGCAGAAGCCATCTCTGATTGAGGACTCTCAAGTGCTAGCCTAGCGCACAGCATGTGTTCTGTACATGTTTGATTGCTTGGTGGGTCAGTGCATCGCTGCTTTGTGCTTGCTCATATCCTTACGGTTTTCAGCCTTTCCCCTGCTGCCTCTGAGATTAGTTTTCCCCTTATCTGAATCTCTGCTTCCGAGCTTCACTCCCCATTTTGACATCCATGAGCATGCCCAAGAGCATCTGCTCTGAAGAGATTTCAAAGTGAGTTTGAGTCTCATTGCATTTGGCTTTTCTTTTTAAAATACACAGGCAGAACTGGGGGTGGGGCGGTAACGGATGTCCTGCCTAGTCACTGCCACACGGCACACCGTGGCTGTCATGGGCACCCTGGCTGTGTTTTGACGATTGTGTTCTAACTCAAGGACACGGGTGAAATAACACTTCCCAGCCTCAGAGAAGACCAGTGCTGGAGGGCACCGTACAGAGTGCTTACTGGAATCCCCGCCCTCTCCAGCCCGTGTTCCTACCCTGTCTTTGAGGGAGAAATAAGATACGGGGTATGATTTATTTTCCCACTGAGGTGGGGAATGAGAGAGGTGGAATTGAGTATGACTCAGTGCTCCCACAGTGAGAGAAGGCCACAAGCTTTTGGTGCCCTGGATTCATACTCAGAAGCCCGGTGGACTGGCCCAAGGCCCAGCCTCTTTGACCACGGCACCCGTCAACTCACTGGTTTCAGATTAGTTCTTATAAAGAGTCTCTCCCCGTAAAATCTGATTAACCTCTAATCAGTACGGGTTTGGCTGGATCATGGATGTCAACATCTTCCCATTTCCTGAGTTGTCAGTCACCGTTACAGGGATGAAGTCTTTGGTAATAGTCTCCTGCTAATAACATCTTTGTGTCCCTTACGTGGACCCACAAGTGACAAAAGACAAGTCCAGTTGGCTTGCGTGAATAATTTGTTTACCCACAGAGAAGTGGGAATTCAGACAGAAGTCCTAGGGTAAGTAAGTTGAGTAGGTGTGGGCACCTTTCCACAGCTACGAAGCACACAGAAGAATCCAGCATTTAGAGGAAAGAGTGATCTCTCAGGGCATCTTACCCCATCCCTGCTGTGGTCGATGTGGTATTTTTATACTGAGAACACCCGGGTCCAATCAGTGCTGGGGGAGTGAAGGGGCAGTAGCAGAATCACTTGGCAGTTAAGCTTTTGGCACGAGCTCACTCCCAAACCTCGAGTATTGAACTCGTGTTGTGGGTGGGGGCGGGGGTGGTGGTGGGCAGTTTGCCTAGAGGATTCTATCCTATTTTCTTTGGGGGGTGCAGAAAGTATTATAGGATTTTTCAATTCTTCCTAGTCAGCTGCCAGAAATCCGTAGTCAGGACCTTATCTGTTCCAAGGACAGACCTCTTTTCAAGGAAAACGAGAGTCTGAGGAAGTGGGAGAGACCCGGACAAAACCCCGGAAGGAGCGTGGGTGCCGCTGGGCACTCTTCAGGCAGAACACGCGCCTCTGGAAACATCGCGCTTCTGAGAAGGGCTCTTTCACTGGCCGCTGCCTCACCTCTTCTGTGGCATCAGGGAAAAGTGTTTTTGTCCAGACCCTGAGTGGAGAACACCAGCACACCGGCAGCCTACATGGTTCCAGAATGTAGCAGGGACTCCCGTTTTTTTTTTTACCCTTAAAACAAGGGTCACATTTTCCTCTTCTCCCTCGATTTGCAAGTGTTTCGGTTTGTGTTGCAGACCCTCATTGCTGTCCGTCTCACGTATGGGGTTGTTACCTTCCCAGCGAGACTGTCATCCTTGAGAATAGGTCCAAGGCTGTATTTGTGTCCCCAGCAGTACATAAATCTGGGCCAGGCCCACAGTAAGTGCTTAATAAAGATGTCCTAACTTGGATCGTAGATCACACACTGTCAGAGCTGGAAAGGATTTTGGAAACCACCAAATCCAGCACTCTAATTTTAAAGATGGTACCACTCCAGAAACTCATTTTGGAGGCTGGTGTTTATCTGCTGGAAAGGGGGGGGGGTTGTTTTTGTTTATGTTAAAGCCTAGTGCAAACGACCATAATTCTAAACCTTTGAAAGGCTTTCTTCATGGTGCAGGATGTTCCTGCTGGGACTAGTAGCTGACTAATAATAACAGTAAGAATGCTGACTGGATGCCATACCCTGAGCCCCTGTCACTAATTCTTCCAGCCACATAGAGGCGTTGGTACCATCGTCACTCTGCAGATGCCACCGGGGAGGCTCGGCAGGAGGGCACCTTGCTCAGGCTTCTGTAGCTACGGGAGTGGTTGAGGCAGGACTCGAATCCGGTCTGGTCAGATGCCCAAACTCATGGCTCACGATGGCTCTCAGACAGGATCCCTGACTAAAGCCCCATTTATTGATTCACAGTGCTGGCTTTGCAACATCCCGTGGTGTCTCCATCCTAAAGGCAGCTGGAAAATTAATTTTCATTAACTTTAGCTCTCCAGTTAGACACGGGGAGACAGGGGAGGCAAGGCCTGAAGCAAATAATGATAGGGGCTGCATCTCCAGAAAGGTCAGTAATCACTGCCCTGGATTGTAAAAGCGTTTAGGCTGAGTGAAAGGAATGTGTGTTCCCCTCTCTTGCTCCAGAAACCATTGCTTTACCTCGAGTTGCTGGTTCTTCCCCTAGTCTCTCTTCTGGGCCCAGAACTCCCCCTTTCCTGTCCCTTGTGTCACAAAGCCTCGGGCCTGGTGGCTTCCAGGACATACCTGTGCAAAAAATGTCCCTCGCCAGACCAGTATGAAACACGCCCCGAAGGCCGGGCTGCCCAGTGTACTCGGCCTTCAAGGCAGGCTGTTCGCCTTGAATCTTTGCGCTGAGCTCTATGTCTAAATAGCATTCCTGTGAGTTTTCTGAAAGGTTAGTCCTGGGTCACTGGCACTTAACCCACTTGTTTTGGTAGATCCTTCCCGAGAAGGTTAATTATATATTTGATATCCTTTCCTCTTTATGCCTGAATGATGAGGATAAGTACCCTGTGGTTTATTAACTGTCACTTTAAACCTTTTCAGATTGTCTTGTGACAAAACAGAGTTTTATGTCCTTTTTATCCAGCTTTGACGGATGAGACAGCTTCTCTGGTAAAAGAATGCCAGGATAAATAAGATCTTTCCCTGATTTGTGGGGGAGGATTTTGCACTGGAAGTCATGAGTTCAAGTCCGCCATTTCGTACGAAAGGTGACCTGACCTGTTAGCCTTTCCATATACTTCATTTTCCCTTGTGGACAAATGGGGCTGGGCACCTCGGCACTCGGTACTTGCCGAAGAAGTGAAAGAGAAGACATCGCTTTAGGGCAGTTGATGTCTCTAAAAGGTTTGGCACCAAACCCTAAAGCAACAAGGTGCCGTGTTTCCTATTTTGAACCCCACTGATTTCTCTGCGCAGAGAGCCTCTGTCCTTAACATTATAGAATGCCAATACTTCCCTCTCCCCCACGGGGTCATTTTGGTATACGTTTAATTTTTTTCAGTAAATTTGCAGTAGGACCGTGGAAGGTGGATGCCATTAGGGGCGGTTAGTAGACGTTCTGTGAACCTCGTGTCCACCCGTGTCCGCATCCTCCAATCTTGTGCGTCCAGTGCCTTGAGAACCAGTCTCCTGGGACACACAGTATATGTGACTCAGCGGTTAATCTCTCTCTCCACTGGTATTTACTGAATCCCAGCTAGGAGCAAGGGAAGGTATTTATGTAAAGTCATTAAAATAGCAAAAACAGCTCTGAGGCTTTAAAACCCTTTTCCTTCCGTGTTTGATCCGTTCCAGTTTGCGGGGACGCTGTCGGACGGCTTAGGGAAGACGATGGACAATCGGCATCAGTCGGAGCGGGAGTACATCAGATACCACGCGGCCACGAGCGGGGAGCACCTCGTAGCCGGCATCCACGGCCTGGCGCACGGTAAGTCACGGCTGCCGGGAGAACGGCTCTCCTGCCACAGTTCCTCGGGGCCCTTTTCAGCCATCTGATGGCAAGCGGACATCCAGGCCGGGAGCTTGGTGTACCTGAGAGCCTTCCAGGCTGTCCTCTTGTACCCTCCCTGCAACTGAAACGTTACAGCCTGTGGCAAGCCTTCATTTATTTTCAACACGTTGCACACATTGCGATCCCTTCCTGTTCTTTGGCTTCTGTTCCCAAAATGTGATACGGTATCATCGTTTGAACCCCTTTCTAGAATGCGGAATTGCCGCTTCGATACCCGCCTTCTGCTTACTGAGCATTCCTTCCGTGGCAAGTGAAGTGTGAAACCGGCCGCCGGGTTTGTGGCCCAGATGTTTTTGAGTCTTGTGTAAATGCACACTCACCTGGATTGTAAATGCAGGCGTCCAAGAGATGTAGGTGATGGCATGGATGTATTAAGCCTCTGAATTTGTATGAATTCTGCCCTTTACTGCTCTACCTCCGAGTCATTTGCCCTTTGTTGTGTTTTTTCTCCACAATTTCTGAGTGTGACATCCAAGGCCCTTGGAAATGTAAACCCAGCCAACTTGGCCAACCACTGTCCCCCAGCCGTGCTGTATTTCAGCCACCCGAAGCCCAGTGTTGTTCCCCAGACGTGCCTTGCTCACTCAGTTCATTCTGCTCCCTTCCCCTGCCTCACTTCCTTGTCAGGCAGAGTCCAACTCAACCCAGAAGTCTCCACTCAAGTGACGTTTGCTCCACTGTCCCCAGTCAGAATTAATGACGATCAGGGCACACGTGGCAGTCTAGGTCATGTCTCTAGCCAGCTGTGTGTGTGTCTTGCTTTCCTGATAGATGGGGAAGGTCAGGAGAGCAGAAAGACCATCGTGTATTCACCTTTATACTTCAGACCCTCACACGATACCTGGCATATATTTCATGCTTATAGTTAGGTTAGGATGGTTAGGAAACTGCGCTGTTGGTACCAGATTCTTAGAAATAATCTGAAGCTATCAGAAGTCATATCAAGACTGATCAAGTTCAGATTATCTGCATTTGGAAGAAGGAGGAATGTGGAGAAGAAAAAGAAAAAATAATTCTTTTCAGGCTTGGGACACAATGTTTAGGACAGGGTTTTTGTTTATCGGTTTTCCTCACTTGTGAGGTTTGGCTCAAAATGCCTTTACTTTTCTTAAGCCTGCCCAACTGGAGAGGGAGCTGCCCCAAAGGAGACATTCAAGCCAGGAGTAAAATTTAGCTGAAATTAATGTGTTCACGGACTCAAAAAGTTGGTTGCTGGGCAGCCGTGTGGGGTGAAAGGTTTGCTCATTCTTCCTAGTAAATATAATGATAGTGCATGGGAGTCGGAGGAACTGTGTTCTTAAAGAATGTAAAATGCTTTACTGTGCATAATTGCCTTTACCTGTCTAGCATCCTTGGGATGTGGAGAGAAAATATAGCTGCCCTCACTTTTCAGATGGACACGACAGTGTGCTGAAAAAAATGGATGATGGGTTCAAGGTTGGTTGTAAAATCCCCTCCAACCAAGGACCATTCATACAGTATGTGCAGCATCTCCAGGAACAGGTAGCCTCATCCAAGGAGTTTCCGTGAAGCTCTGGATTGTATGCGAGTGACATCCTTTTTCCTTCAGGATGAAACCATTGTTTTTTGTTTTCGTTTTTGCTTTTTAATTAATTTATTTATTTGGAGAGAGCAGGGAAAGGGCAGAGAGAGAGGGAGAGAGAGAGAATCCCAAGCAGGCTCTGCGCTGTCAGTGCAGAACCCGATGTGGGGCTTGATCCCTTGAACCGCAAGATCAAGACCGGAGTCGAAATCAAGAGTCAGACACTTAACCGACCGAGCCACCCAAGTGCCCCCAGGATGAAAAAAATTCTTAAATGATAACAAGAACCAGAATCCATTCAGTCTCCTTGTTTTAAAAACTGGGAGTCTTGCTCAGTTTTCTCTGCAGACCCTGCTTGTGCCAGGTTCAGTAATGTCTGTGTCTCTGTGAATGTGGTTCCAAAGGTTGGGAGAGGACCGTAGCCTCACTGGAGCAAGCGGACCCAGAATCCAAAAGAAACGCTATGGATTGTTAGTGCTGTTAGTGCGTTCTCACCCAGGGGATTTCCTTTACCGATTTGTCTCACTAGAGCTGAAGAGTCTAGAGAGCTTCCTCATGCCCCCACCGTCAAAGGGTAAACATCCTGTGAGTGTCCCTGGCACACATCCTGGAAGTGCTCCCTGGACAGGGCCCCCCTTCTTCCCTGTAGCCCCTGTGTCGTCTCCAGCCTCTGCCAACCTCTGGCCACTTTTGAGGCTCTTTAAGGTCATTGCTGTCAACTTTCAAAATGTTTGGAATGTCTCTTTGACCTAGGTTGGTCTTTGGAACAGACTCCATTGAGAGTCCTGGCTGGTTTTGGCAGCTTTGGGTTGGGCGGGGGGGAAGGGGGGGTGCCTTTCATCAAGGCCTCATGATTTACTCATTACCTAAACCCAATTTCAGCAAAGCATGCAGTTGTTTTTACCCGTTTCAAACTTCTGGTGGTGTTGGCCAGTCACATAGTGTTCTTGGAAAACTGAGGAGCTGTATTTAGTTCTCTCTGCCTTATGTTTCATGGGGTCCCAACTTTCCCCAAAGTCTGTTGGTTTAGTCCTACTGTCCGTGTCGTCTCCTGATGGCCCGTATGCTTCCCAAACTCTGAAACTGGAAAGTAGCCACTGTTAACCTCTTAGGTTTTCTGTGATTTTTTAAACTGGAACACACTTTACTTGAGACTGATGTGTGATATATACTCTCAGACTCTCAACTTGGTGTGCAAGCCTACTGGGTTTCCCAGCTAGAGTTGGCCTGCCTGTAGCCTATTAAGAAGTCGACCGAATGTCCCTAAGTTACCTTGCCGGGTGCATGGAATTGATGAGGTTCGGCTTTAAATGCTTTTGCTTTGTCCTTGGCCAGGTTACAACAGCCCTTGTTTCTTTTGCTCTAGGTATCATTGGTGGATTGACCAGTGTGATAACCTCAACAGTGGAAGGAGTGAAAACAGAAGGGGGTGTCAGCGGTTTCATATCTGGCCTTGGGAAAGGACTCGTGGGCACTGTAACTAAGCCAGTGGCAGGCGCCCTGGATTTTGCATCAGAAACAGCCCAGGCGGTGAGAGACACAGCCACTCTCAGTGGCCCCAGGTCAGTGGTCACAGAGGAAGTCGCTTTTGCAATTTCCATCCCAGATATGCTGCCTCTCCTGATCCTTGCTGATGTGTTTAATCATATACTTTCCACCTTAATGATGTGATTTTTTTTAAAACTTGAATCCATGTATCTAAAATTTCTGACCTGCCTAATATAAATATGTGAAAATAAGGTGCAAACATCGGGCATGAATCGCTTCTCGGCCTTTTGGCTAAGATCAAGTGCAAAAATCGGGCATGAATTTTTTGAGAACTACATCTGTATCTATCCACCTATATCTGCGTCTGTCATTTATGCGTATATAAAATACTGGTTTTTTCGTTAGAGGGGTCAGAAATAGAATTGCACCGTTACAGATCTCCCGTTCACCAAACGAACTAGATCCCCATATGCCCACTAAGAGAACTGTGGGGCTGCAGGCTGCATCTGGCTCCTGGGCTCCTGGCATGGTTTTAGGGTCCCTGTCTTGCAGTTCCCCATGTAGGTCTGCCCTTTCTCCGTTCTCCCTCCACTCGGACATGCCAGCCAGCCCCCAGCCTCATAAAGGAATTCTGCAGGCAGGTTGGCAGCTTCGCTGTGGGATGCAATCTTGCCTCGATGCCAGCCAAGATGGGAAACCGGGGGCAGCCCGTATGGCTCCACATCCCACAGAATCCAACTGCTTTAGCACAGCTCCTCGTGTCAGTCGCCTATTTGAGCCTTCCTTTTTCAGAGTGACTAATTGGGGATCTTATCAACAAAGGGTATAATGAATGTTACAGTTCCCAGCCAAGCTGGACGCCACTTAAGCCCAGAAGGATTTTGCTGCTCCCCGGTTAATAGATATTCCCCAAGTGAATTAGCGTGCCCTTTTAGAATGCCTAGGGCCTGGGCCTTATCCACACCCTGCCGCTCCCTCGAATAGGATTTGAAGTGAAATCGTCCCCAATTAAAGTGAATCCATTTGTCTGTCACCAGAAAACCTTCCTGATGACACATTACTGCAGGGGAAATGCTTAAGATTGTGGACTGGGACCATGTAATATGTTCTGCCAGAATGTCTTCCATCTGGAAGCAGCTGCTTTTTACAAAAGGATCTGTAGCGTTTACTTTAGTTAAGTTACATTCTATTCTCAGATACAGAGCTAGAGCAATCCTGGAGTATATTTTGAAGCATTTATGAAGGTGGGGGGAGGGGCAGTAGGGAGGCTTCAAAAGTATTTCCAGTTTTTCTGCGTCTGCTGGAAACCCCAGAAGTCTACCCCCAGTATTTCATCAGGACAGTAAGACCTGATGACCACATGAGTAAAAGCAGGCAGCCCCTACGAATTCCAAAGGAACCATCCTTATTCATAAAATCCCCAAGTGGTCAAGGGATTGAGTGTTTGTTTCACAAGGGGTCTGAGGTACGTGTGTTTAATTTTTTAAATTTCGTTTTGTGCTGGGAACTTCAATGGTGTTGACCAGAAAGAAATGACTCGAATTTTCTACAGTGTGGAAGTCTTGGTAGACCACAGCAGGGTCTACTTCGTGTCACCGATGTATCCCGTCAGTCATTCATTTCTAGTCAGTAAATACCAATGGAACATTTTCTAAGAACTCAGCTTTGGGAACATGGCAGAGCGCAAGGCTGGCCCTGCCTTCAAAGGGCTTACAGTCCAGTGGGGAAGCAAACTTAAAACAAGAATCATACAGTCATCCTAGTAATCATAATTTGTGAAAATTCTGACAAATGACACAGGAGATGTCCAGGGTGCTGTGAGACTGTGTCACTGGAGAAGGCGCAGGGGAGAAGGAGGTCGGCTAACCTGTGGTCCATGGGGTCAGGAAAGGCTCTTCTAGGGTAGTGCTGTTTAGAAGTCCAATGCGCTGTGCGTTGTGCCCCGGGACCCCCTGGGAAGTGCTGGTCGGGATGAAGCCTGAAGTGGACGTGAGGGTTGGCCAGGTCAAGGGAAGAGAGAATCACATTCCAGGTAAAAGGGGTACAGGAGGGGCGCCTGGGTGGCGCAGTCGGTTAAGCGTCCGACTTCAGCTCCGGTCACGATCTCACAGACCGTGAGTTCGAGCCCCGCGTCGGGCTCTGGGCTGATGGCTCAGAGCCTGGAGCCTGCTTCCGATTCTGTGTCTCCCTCTCTCTCTGCCCCTCCCCCATTCATGCTCTGTCTCTCTCTGTCCCCAAAATAAATAAACGTTAAAAAAAAAAAAAAAAAAAAGGGGTACAGGAAACTATATGACTTGCCTAAACACAAACAGTAGCCGGGCATTCTAATCGCAGTTTGGCTGCAAATTTCCCGGAACATCTGTCTTCGTAGCCCTTCGCTCCCAGAACAAAAGCTATGGTGGGAAGCGAGGAGCAGCCAGGTAGTCCGCCTGGGGACATGGGAGCTTAAGTGAGGGGGAAAGAAGCTTCTGCATCTCCTCTCCATTCTCAGAGGAGCCACGAGCAGGAGAACCACGGCCGAAGTTAGCAGAGGTGCGCAGGGCACGTGCTGGACCATCTAATGGGAGCCTCGGAGAGCTTTGGCCCTTTACCCTTTATTGCACTAAAAAGGCATTACAGCTTCTGCTGAGACACTTGGACCAGTTTCCCTCCATCCATTTGTCTAGGTCCCAGAGTAGGTTATTAATGAGGATCTGTGTGTTAGAGAGAAAAGAACACTTCGCCTGGAGAGCCGTAGGTCTGGGTCCCCACCCCCTTGTTAGCTTCGGGCCCTTGGTCAAGTCTCCTCACCTCCCTAAGCCTCAGTTTTTTCATCTATAAATTGGGGATAAATATACCTGTCTCTTTATTCTCTCTCTCAGAGGTCTGAAGCCCAACCAGAATTATTTTAATGTGGCTGCCATAAGGAGCTATAAACTGCTGGACAACCCTATGTTTGAAAGTCACATTAAAAGAACACAGATTCTTGCAGGTGGAGAAATGTTTCGGTGCCTTGAGGGTTTGTTCTGATGACACTGGGATCTCTCAGGAACATACTAATTCTACCACGGGATAAATCACCCCTGTTTCTTGGAAGTGAGTTATAACCATCTCCAACCATCCCAGTTGACTGAACAGGATCCAGGGGTGTTACTCAGGGTTTTTCCCCACTGTTTAGACAACAGGGACTAACAAATGATTTGAAGGGATTAGAAGTGAGATTCTGACCGAGGGCTGACCTGAGCCCAGGGACCGAGCCAGGAATAGAACCCAGGAGTCCAAGAGTTCTGCCTCTGAGTCTGCTCTTGGAACGAGCCTTTCTGCTTCCTTTGTACTATTGCGTCCAAGTGAGGGCTTAGATCTTAGCATCTATGTTTTCAATGACTCAAATTTTAAGCAGATGATAGCAAAGTAAGCCATAAGACTGCAAAAGAATACTCCTGCCAGTAATCCATCTGAAAAGTGGCCTTACAGGAAATATTGGCTCCTTTTCGTGTTTATTTGAACATGATTTTATTTATAGGGAACCTCCCCCCCCCCCACCCCCCGCCTTGAGTTCTCTCAGATTGAAATACTTCCAAGTTCCTCTCCTTGGTGGAGTGTGCAGGCATTCCACAAGGACAGTCACCTAACATTCCCCCCCAAGTTTCCATGCAATCTAATTGTTCTTGGGAAGGCAGGTGGGGGCGGGGGGAGAAGAGGGCGGAGGACCGCGCAGAGCCCTTGGCCTCCACATGAATGTTGTAGACCAATATCCCCTGCTGCATTTGTTAACTGGACAAGTATGTGTGGTTTGGAACCGAAATAAGAAGGCTTTTCCAAGGCAACGTTCTGCTGGCTCAGGTTGCATCTTCTCGTCTACGTGTTGGGCCACATTTGTCTGTTCCCAAGTCAAGTTTATGAAAGTGGCACAGATGCAGCCACACTCGCCGTGCCACGGGAGCCATATAGAGAAGCCCAGCCCCCTTCACACATGGCCACGCATGCCCCCTTCCTGCATGTGTGGTGGTAACTGATGGGAGCCCTTGAAAAGATACTTGGGTACAAAGCCACAGAGACCCGGGAGCAGCCATTTCACAAGAGAAAGTACAAATAACGCTGAAAAGACAGGAGTATTGGACTCTGGGCTATGTATTTGCTTGGTTATTTCTCTAAATACCCTCTGTTGTAGGCTTTGGGTTACAGGACATTTTAGGAATGTAGCAGATGAAGATTTATGAAGCCGGGTCCTGAGGTTTCCTCCAGAATATTTCTTCACCTTTTTAGTCAGGACCCCAAATGGGGAGAGAAGCGGGAGCTGGCAGAACTTGAAATATTTAAACGAATTTAGCAAAGCTCAGGAGTGTCAGAGCTTTATCTCCTTATTTAAGTTAGATAAGGAGGAATGGGAATTCGAAGGGTAATGATAGATTGACGTTTAAGAATATAGCCATGAGGACTCTGAGAATGCTCTGGAATCCCAGGACCCCTGTGTTGTGCACGTAGATGTAAATTCCAGTTGCTCTGAGAGCTTTTGAGTAACCTCTGGGTTGATTTCGCAGAAAAGATTGATGGTGGGCATATTTGACCTTTTCAGTAAAAACGCTCTCAAGACACCACCCAAAATTTGTTCAAGACACTTTCTGCCAGCGGCCTCCCGGATATGAAATGGACGTAGATTTTCTTAAGGAAAAGTCCGTTTTTGTTACAGTGTTTGCTTCTTACCTACGACTCTCCCGGATTGAGGGGAAGAACGTCTTGGGTCAGCAGAGCCTGAGTGCAGTCAGGTTGGACAGGTTGGGAAAAAGTCCACAGAGGGAACTTGGCAAATGCTTTTACTACTTTTCCATCCCAGTTGGGAAATACTGCTTGTAATTCTCCTGTCCACGCATAACACATCAAACAGAATTGGTTTGAATTGAGGCTGGAGGCAACTTCCCAAGATTAAAATCTTCACGAAAATCAAAGTGGTTATTAGGATACACCAGGGCGGTCAGTTTTTCCAAAACCAGTGTCCACCTAAGGCAGAGGAGAGTGGACTTACGCCCCGTGTAGCTGGGGTCAGAAGCGAGCCCAGGACTGTTTGGAAAGCTTCTGTTTCATCTTAAAACTAAAC